AAAATGTCTCCCTCGACAAAAGCAAGCACGCCGATCGGCGGCATAGCCCAAAGCCAATAAAGCAAGCATAGCTTGGGTTATGAGGTAAGAAACGAGGCATGCAACCAGCCCCTGCCCTCACAAGCCTCTGGCCATTCGTATTATGCTGGAGCGACCTCCGGAGGTATGTGTTGCAAGCTTGCCCACTTGTGCGGGCACGAGAATGAAAGAGAAAAATATGGTTATGGACCATGAGGGTGTGAGAGCGAAAGAGAGAATGAGCAAGGGTGGAAGAGAGAGAGAGAGAGAGAGAGAGAGAGAGAGAGAGAGGGAGAGAGAGAGAGAGATATATATATATATATATATAAATATATATATATAGAGAGAGAGAGAGAGAGAGAGAGAGAGAGAGAGAGAGAGAGAGAGAGAGAGAGAGAGAGAGAGAGAGAGAGAGTGAGAGAGAGAGAGAGAGAGAGAGAGAGAGAGAGAGAGAGAGAGAGAGAGAGAGAGAGAGAGAGAGAGGGAGCACGAGAGGGAATATGGATGGCCCGAGCTCGCGCAACCTTACGAACAATGATGCGAATGCTTGGGAGGACGTGAGCGGCGGCATAGTAGGTGGGCAACCACCACGAAGTTGATATGGTCCTAGTCAACTGTACCCAAATATTTTGAGGCACCGGCCTTTAAGGAAAGAAAACAAAAAACACGCACACACACACATACACACAGAGGCACAAACGCGTCAGCGAGGGGTACACTTAGCGCTTCTTCCCTAATGCTTACGGCACGTTATTCCCTTTTATTGGACTCCCGTGCAGATACATTTGGGCACAACCCAGAACGACTCAGAGATCCATTTGAATACGCCGTTACCGACCGTACGATCTCCGCCATGCGCGGGCGCCGGCGGAATTCGCTAATCTGGTGGCGTTCGTGGTGCACCAGTAGCTTGATCCTGTCAGATATTGACAAAGGCTATTGGATGCCCTAGAAGCATGGGCCCCCACAACCGTTTCGGGACTCCAGCCATGGAGGAGCTAAAGTTCACGCGGAATTTACAAAGTCAGCTACAGCAGACCTCCTCCAAACCGGTGCTGCAACGGAGGTGCCAGAAGCAGCGCTTACATTCATCAGCCTCTCAACATCGTAGAGCAGTGCGACAAATGTCAGCTCATCCTTGATCTGCGCTAAGTCAACGAGGAACTGCAAATTCCTAAATTCAAATACGAGGGACTCACTCGTGTTGCCGACTTGGCGCGCGCGTGCGATTGGACGTTCTCAATCGACCCGGAGTCCGGGTACCATCACGTCAACAGTCACCCGCGATCCTGGACATATCAAAGTTAGAATGAATGAATAGAATGAGGAAAATAAGGTGGTTTTGTCTAAGGGGTTGTACCCTCTAAGAGTACGTTATGTTTGACAGGAAATTCTTAGGTTTTCAATTCGAAGAACGCTTATATTGCTTCCGCTTCCTTCCGTTCGGATTGGCTACAGCTTCTTTCATCTTTACATAGTTAATTAAGCAGCTTGCACGACGCTGGAGAACGAAGGGCATGCGGGTCATACCGTATGTGGATGACATCCTCTTTCTTTGTCGTTCTGAAGCCGATGCTCTGGACACCTGCACACAAATCATTTGCGATTTACACAGCACTTCGTCCCACCCAACATCTGCGCTTTTTGGGTTTGTAACTTGACACCAAACTCGTCCAATTCTCAATGGGTTCGGAACGACGCAACTCCCTACAATCTACCATCCAGTCGCTTCTGGAGGCTCGATGCAACCAGTCCAAGGTCCCCGCCCGGCATGTCGCGCGTGTTACAGGCATGCTCGCTTCAATGGCAGTCGCACTCGGGGCCACCCAGCCATGCGGTATTGCAGACCATCAATGATGCTTCTTCATGGAACAACAATGTCCTGCTGTCGCCTTCCACTTGCGACACATTCTCCGACAAAATTCGTGAAGCCAGCATGAACATGCCAGACCATTTGCGACACACGTCCAGCACTCGTCGCGAGATTGAAGGGTACTGTCGGCATTGCAGACATATAGTGACCTACCCCGAAACAAACACGTGCTCGTGCGCGTGGATAATCAGGGAGTTTTCTTCATCTTGAAGAAGGGAGCTCGCGCAGCTCTGATTTCACCCTTGCCTGCAAATCGATCATCCGCGCGTGTACTACCTACAGAGTCTGACTCATCATGGAATGGATTCCTCTCGAACTCAATACGCATGCGGACAAACTCTTGAAATTACTCGATCGCGATGATTACACATTGAAGACGCCGTGTTTCGATCTTCTAGAATGGCGCATAGGCCCCCATTCTATAGATCTCGTCGCCAACGTTAGCAATGCTAAGCTGAGTCGTTTCTGCTCTGAACACCTGCACCCCACGACCACAGCGATCAACGCCTTCACGATTTCTTAGACGGTTGAACACGATTTCGCCTTTCCACCGCCCCAAGAAATCCCCGCAGTCCTCCACCATGCACAACGCACGCATGCATCTCTTACGCTCATAGTTCCCCACTGGCCCGGCGCTATTTGGTGGCAACTCCTCCAACCCTCACCTCCCGCCTGGGCTTGCCACATCCCACATCCAACTCACGCACGCCAGTCAATGCCTAATGCCAGGCTCTCATACTAGTGCTTTTTCTGGCACCGGCTTGTCTGATAGCCTCATGCTCGCTCTGCAATTCGTGTTCCCCTAATGCATCTCCCCCTGGTTCCACCAACCAGACCTCATTCCAACCCTGCAAAGCGAACTACTCTCCGTCATGGCACAGACACGCGCAGACTCTACAATCCGAACTTACGAACCCTATTGGCCGCGATTTCGTTCCTTCTACACCAAGGCTAACTTGTCGTTCCTGCCATCGTCGGACATGACACTCGCCTTGTACCTCGTCTACACCATTCGAAATAAAGCTACACTTTTGGTGATCCAACTCACCTGCTTGGCCGTCAGCTTTGCTCACCGCATGATTGGGGCACCTTGCCCTAGTACCGTCCCCTTCACGACACAAGTTCGAGAGTTTGCAAAGCGAGGCCCTCCGACCTAACCGAACCAAGGAACCGGTCTCTCTACACTAAGTGCACGCGATGGCTTCCCACTTCATCAGTGGGAACTCTAAGACTCTCTGAGACACCCCCCCCCCCCTAAAAATAAATCTGAAGGCCCTTCGACCAAAATATCGATACTTTGAAACGTCAGAGTCCATAACTGAGCTTGTTTGATTTTCTCAGGGTCCAGCTAGTACAACCAGAGTTAAAAAAAATAGAGACGGAAATTTGCGGATCTTTTAAGGGTACTAACGACGATGCCTTAGTATGAAAATGTTTTGACCCTAGACGGGGAGAGACGAAACAACTATTTTCTAATAGTCGTCCCTTTTAGGGAAATTCTCGTCAGCTGCCCGTTAGGCCAATTGAAAGTCTATCAAAATTCGACGGCCTCGATCGATTGCGATCGTATCGACATGTTTTGACCGTTCGATTGTTGCTAACGATTGACGCCCAAGATCTCCCAACCGGGGCGCTGCAATGGCGCGAAGCTCCCACCGCTCTATTCGCCCAGCTTGCCCCCTCTCCCCAGTTTCGATCCCCCCCTCCCCCTCCATTTTCAATCCCCCCCTCCCCCTCTGTTTCGTTTCTCCTCTTCCATCCGTTTCGATCTCCCCCCTTCCCCTCCATTTCGCTTCCCCTCTCCCCTCAGGGAAGGTTTGTCTACGTGCCCAGCTCACCCTCATATATGTTATATATCTGTTTATGACTTAGCCAAAAGTTTGGGCTATTTGGGGTCAGGGTGTTCGGGAGACTGTGTCTGATAACCCCACTTAGCCGAGATTTTCGATATGTTGTGGGGTGTGTGGGGGATGTCTCTAGCATTCGGGGACTTAGCCAAATCTTCGATGGGTTATGGGGTGTATGGGGGATGTCTCTAGCGTTTGGGGACTTGGCCGAAATTTTCGATGGGTTGTGGGGTGTGTGGAGGATGTCTCTCTAGCGTTCGGGGACTTAGCCGAAATTTTCTGGGTCGCATGTTGGTAGTAGGTACATGTGTTTCAGGATCTGTATGCGCTGTGCTCTGGAAACTCAGTACTGGGTTAGCAACAAGTCTGATTTGTGCAGGATCCCTAAAATCCTACTCTGAAGTGATCAAGATTGGGGAAATGGGTAATATGAAAATCCAGGTTTGGCCAACAATAGGGTCTGAAATTTCATACTAATCAGACTAATTAGTCTGATAACGCCAGCCTTGGTTGCGTTGTCACCAGCAAGCCACCATCATACACCACAATTCGCAACTGATGCAATGAGGCATTTCATACCATTGGCCTCGGCGAACACCATCTCGTTCCGCAAAGGTGCCGCGACTGTCGCCGCCCATGGAAGCATAGCGGACCGGCTTCTCAAACGTGTTGGCAGATGGCGCAGTGACAAGGCGAAAGAGATGCACGTCACGCCTGCTGCCGACCAACTAGTGTCGGCCTCCCGCGAGGTACAGACACGTGCGCCGAGATTGTCACCTGCACAAGCGCTCGCGAGCCACCGGCGAACGTCCCTACCCATGCCTCAGCTCATTTGAGTGAAATGAGAACGATGCCAATTGCACTAACAAGAAGCAAGCTTTCTCAATATGTATATTTTTAAAGTGATACATTTTTTAAATTGCGTATTGTGAACGCGGAGCTGCTTGTAATGCAATTTTTTGCATCGTCGAAGTGCGCAATTCGCCCTTCTCCGACTAAATAATGTGGTTGGAGGTCATTCTTCCTCCACCCACGTCTTCTTCATTCTTCACAGCTCAAGTCCAATTCCCGCCCACCCAACCCGTTCCATCTGGCTTCGTCGACTTGTCCCTGGCAACCTACGGTGCTTCCGTGGATCGTCATCAGTATAGGCATAGCCTTCTTGGTGTAGCAATCTAAGTTGATGTATTGATACATTGGGAACTCTTTGTACTTGATGCCAGTGAAATGAGAACGATGCCAATTGCACTAACAAGGAGCAAACTTTCTCAATATGGGATTACTCAAGTCAAAATATTTCCAGCAATTTCTTTCACAACCCTAATCAACTCATCCATGTCCACATGAATATCCGAGTTCTTGGTCCCATTCCCGTGCACAAGATAATACGAATGACGGCAAATGTGCGCTAAAAAGTGGTAGCAGTTATTGTCGAATGAATGTGGCCGAACCTCCACGACATGGCTAAGGGAGGGCATAAAGACCATGTTGGTCATGAGGGCCCCGTGAGGCGAGATGAAGAGGCGTGCGCGGTTGAACAGCCGCTTGGCGTCAAACACGGGGAGGTTGCCACGGAAGAGCTGCAGGGTTGGGAAGGCGAGGGAGGGGGAGGAGGGGGTGTTAGGGGGGGGGGGTTTGGAGCCAGGTTGCAGAGAGGAGATATTGAATGAAGAGGCGTGCGCGGTTGAAGAGCTGCTTGGTGTCAAACATGGAGAGGTTGCCATGGAAGTGCTGAAAGAGTTCGGACGGGAATGGGAGAGGGAGGGAGCCAGGTTGCAGAGGAGAGGAGATATTGAATGAAGACGCGTGCACGGTTGAAGAGTAGTCGCTTGGCGTAAAAAATGGGGAGGTTGCCATGGAAGAGCTGCAGAGTTGGGAAGGGGAGGGAAGGGAAGAAGGAGGTGGGATGAGGTGGGACGAGGTGGGAAGAGGTGGGGAGGGAGACGGGGAGGCAGCGAATCTCCCAGGAGAGGAGATATTGAGGTGAAAGGGAGTGTGCGGTTAAAGAGCCACTTGGCGACAAACCCTGGGAGGTTGCTGCAGAAGAACTGTAAGAGTTGGGACAGGAAGGGGAAAGGGAGGTGGGAAGAGGTGAAGAGGGAGATGGGGAGGCAGCGAATTTCAGAGGAGAGGAGATATTGAGGTGAAGGGGAGTGTGCGGTTGAAGAGCCGCTTCGCGTCAAACCCTGGGAGGTTGCCGCGGAAGAGCAGCCGATTGTGTGCGGGACATTGTGGATGGGATATTGTGGGGGGGATATTGTGGGGGGGATATTGTGGGTAGGATATTGTGGGGGGGATATTGTGGGTGGGATATTGTGGGGGGGACATTGTGGATGGGATATTGTGGGGGGGATATTGTGGGGGGGATATTGTGGGGGGTGTATTGTGGGGGGATATTGTGGGGGGGATATTGTGGGGGGGATATTGTGGGTGGCATACCGTGGGGGGATATTGTGGGGGGGATATTGTGGGGGGGATATTGTGGGGGGGATATTGTGGGGGGATATTGTGGGGGGATATTGTGGGTGGGATATTGGGGGGGGGATGTTGTGGGGGGGATATTGGGGGGGGATATTGTGGGTGGGATACTGTGGGGGGATATGTGGGGGGATATTGTGGGGGGGATATTGTGGGCGGGATAGTGTGGGCGGGATACTGTGGGTGGGATATTGTGGGCGGGATATTGTGGGCGGGATATTGTGGGCGGGATATTGTGGGTGGGGTATTGTGGGTGGGATATTGTGGGTGGAATATTGTGGGTGGGATATTGTGGGCGGGATATTGTGGGTGGGATATTGTGGGTGAGATATTGTGGGTGGGATATTGTGGGTGGGATATTGTGGGCGGGATATGGGCAGTGGTAGGTGATGGGGAATTTGTAGAGGGAGGGAGGGGGAAGTAGACATGGGCAAAATGCGATTGCGATTTAAATCGCATAGCATTGGGGGGCGATTTAATTAAATGCGATGCGATTTTAAATCCCATCGCATGATTTAATTTCTGGAAAATAAAAATAAAAATCGCACATCGCGTTTTGCAAGCGATGAATATGTAAACCGCATGCGGTATTTAATTAAATCGCGCGATGCGATTTTAAATCGCATCGCGTTTTAAAACAGAATAAAAAAAACCCCAAATAAAACAGAAAAAAACCATGGCTGCGGGGAAATTGACTCACGGGCAGTCGTAAGCTAGAGTGCAAATAACTAGTGTGGTATCGTAGGAGGTTTCAGAGTGGGTTTCAGTGCAACATCGCGCGCGATTTTAAAAAAATCGCATATCGCATTTCAATCGCGTTTTTTAGCGCGATTAAATTGCGATTTAAATTAAATCGCACGATATTAATTCATCGCATCGCGCGATGATTTATTGTAAAAAAAAAAAACGCAATCGCAAAAACGCGATTAAATGCGATGCGATGCGAATTTTTTTTGCCCATGTCTAGGGGGAAGGGGGTGAGGTGTAAAGAGGAGCGCAAAGGAGGATAGAGCGAAGCGGCAATGAGAGGGAGTAGGAGAGAGAGTCTCGAAGCAAAGAAGAATTCAAGGGGAGGAGTGTCTCGAGGAGAAAGAGGTGTCCACCATGCAGTATCAGGGACTGGCCACAATGCGAGCACTAGGAAAGTTACCAAACAGCTCCTGCAGCAGCTGCAACCAGCTGTGATAGCTCACTTTGTTTGTTGATTAGTTAGTTTTCTTCTTCTCTTTTCTTCTCTTCTCTTCAAATCTAAGAAGCTGCAAGGGGGCCACTTCTCACTCACCACAATGCGGTCGCTTGGGAAGATGCTGAATAGCTCCTGCAGCAGCTGAGACCGGCCCACGATGCGGCGAGTCGTGTCCCTCTGACCCACTACCACACACCAATCCAACGCCACGCTCCCATTCCCATTCCCACCAGCACTTAGGCTGCTGTTGCTGTTCCCACTCGTGTTATTATCGGCAGGCGGCGGCGGGACCAGGTACTCGTTTCGTAGGTGTGTGACAAGTGCAGCAGAGGGTCGGCCACACTGTGCCTGAGCGGGAAGATACAGCCTCCGCACGAAATACAGCGCGTCGTCAGGGATAATGTGAATATTCAGCGAAGTTTCCGAGACGTTCACGAGCGCAAAGAGGTGGGTGTAGAGCTCTTGTAATTGCCGGACCACGACGGGGATAGGCCCGGCGGGGAGGTCCAGGTGCGAGGAGAGGAAGGGGCGGAGGAAGAGGAGTGAGGGCATGACTTCGAGCATGGTGTGGTAGAAGTTGGGCCCGTTCCAGTAGGCGAGGGACACAAGGTGGTCGAAGACATACACGGCAGTGGTGCCCCCGGTGTACAGACCTGTGTCTATGGGGCAGGACCTGGGGGGGAGAGGGGAACACGGGGCGAGAGGTGAGGGGGAGGGGGAAAAGAGAGAAAGGCAGGCAGAAGGAGGAAGTGCATCATTCATTGTGTGGAAAAGGCGTGACTCATTTTGGGCCGTTCCAGTAAGCAATGGAGAGGAGGTGGTCGAAGACGTAGATGGCGGTGGTGCCCCCGGTGTACAGACCCGTGTCTATGGGGCAGGACCTGGGGGGAGGAGGGGGGGGTGTGGGGGGAGGGCGGGCAAGGTGGGACAAGGGGGGAGGGGGCAACGGGGGGAGGAAAGGGCAGGCACAAGTAGAAACAGCGTTGATTACAACATGACCAGCTGGTGGGATTCCAGCAGGCCAACAGCTTGAGGTGGTCCGAGATGCCCTCTCGAAAGCAGTAGAGCCTTGCCTCCGGTGCAGATAGGTACCCGTGCCCAGAGGAGACGACCTGAGGGGGAGGACCGGAACATATGAGTTGACTCAAAAGAAGGCCAGCAGCTTGAGGTGGTCCGAGATGCCCTCTCGAAAGCAGTAGAGCCTTGCCTCCGGTGCAGATAGGTACCCGTGCCCAGAGGAGACGACCTGAGGGGGAGGAGCGGAACATATGAGTTGACTCAAAAGAAGGCCAGCAGCTTGAGGTGGTCCGAGATGCCCTCTCAAAAGCGGTAGTGCCTCGCCTCCGGTGCAGATAGATACCCGTGTCGAGAGGAGGAATTGAAGACGAATGATTCAAAGGACTGTAAGGGGAGGGGGGGGTGCGTAGGTTGGGTAGGATAGGGAATGGGAGGGGAGGGGAGGAGAGGAGAGGGACGGAGAGCGAAATGGGAGAAGCAGACTGAAGAGAGAGGAGGAGTGGGGAGAGTTGGGAGGCAGAAAACCGTTAGGAAGAGGAGAGGTGGGGAAGGCGAGACATTATGGTTAGGTTCCAGTGGGGTGGCCCAGGGACGAATTCGTCATGCAACTGGCCCAGGGACGAATTCGTCATGCAACTGGCCCAGGGACGAATTCGTCATGCAACTGGCCCAGGGACGAATTCGTCATGCACCTGGCCCAGGTTCCTCTCTCTATCCACATGGCCATGTTCTTTGGTCAAACGAAAGGTAGGAGATGACTTTTGAGTCCACTCAGTCAGACGTAATCCGATTCTTTAGTCATGGCAGGAGGAGATGACATTTGAGTCGTCTCTCCCCCCACCCACATGGTCAGATTCTTTAGTCAAGCCAAGAGGTTGTTAAAAGGAGGGGGAGATTTGAAGGCTGACGCAAGTGTGTGACACAAGCCGGCGACAGTGCACCTCACTTCCTACCAGGTGCAAGCGGTTCGTTTCGACTTGCAAGAGTGCAGTGCTCCTCCCACCAGCACAAGCGTTATGCCGTAACCGCACACGGGTGCACAAAACTTCACGAGAGTGCACACACCTGCATGGCAGTGCACACACCTGCAGAAGAGGCCGTGTCTGTAGTAGTAGGTCGCATCGAACACAGAGCCCCTGTCGTTGAGAAAAACATTCTCCAGCAGAAACACCTGGGTTGAGAAGCCAAGGGAGGGGAGGGGAGGGGAGGGGAGGGGAGGGGAGGGGAGGGGAGGGGAGGGGAGAGGAGGGGAGGGGAGAGGAGGGGATGGGAAGGGATGGGAGGGGAGGGGATGGGAAGGGAGGGGAGGTAAGGGGAGAGGAGGGGAGGGGAGGGGAGGGGAAATGGAGGGGAAGGGAATTGGGGGGAAAGAAGTGAACATGGATAGGCAGAGGAAACCAGTGGCAGTAGAGAGGCAACAGCAAAGCATCCTTCGTCACCGGTTTCGTTTCGTTCGTTTCGTCTGCCTAATCATGTTGACTTCAAGTAAACCTGTGGCAGGGTTGCTGCTGCTGATAAAGAAATGCTGTCAGTTGGCCCTTCGTCAACAACAACCCTGCCATCCCTTCCCCTTGCACATGAAACTCCCTCTCACCTGTCTGCCCACCCTCCCATGCCCCTGCCAACCGCGTCCATCCGTGAGCCCCTGTCTCTCTCCTTTGAGCCTCTCACGGCCCTAACAGACCCCCTACACTCCCTACACAGCAGCATGGGACTGCAGCCCTAATAAACCCCCTACAAAACCCCCCCACCAGAACCCCTGCCAAACCCCCTCACAACCCCCCCACTATCAGGACTACCACCCCCCCCCCCCCCCACCTCACCTGCGCAGCGAAGGGTTCAGCCACAGCCTCATCGAAGGTCGCCGGAGCCTGAGCAGCAGCCGGGCTGTAGGGGTAGGGCGATGAGGTGCCCGTACGAGGCAGGCACTCACCTTTCAAGTCAAGGCGTTCTGCTACAGCGCACCTTACCAGCAGTTTCATTCCCTAACCACCGCTGCTGCCTATCTTTCCAAGGCTCTCTGCTACGAGTGCGCGTCGCCAGCCAGCCAGACGCAAAACCCGGTGAGTGAAGGGATGAGCCCCTGTGACCCCGCATAAGCCTACCAACCCCCCTCCCAGCCCCCCCCACCCCACCTGCGCAGCAAAGGGTTCCGCCACGGCCTCATCGAAGGACGCCGGAGCCTGAGTAGCAGCCAGGCTGTAGGGGTAGGGCGGCACCGAGCCCGCACCAGCACCATCGCTCGCAGCGCCGCTCGCGGCGTCTGGGAGGTGGTTGAGAGGAGGAGCGGAAACAACAGGGGCACTGTCCACAAACGGAGGATCAGGGGAGCAAGCAGATATGCGGGAGGCCTGGAGGGGGGCGGAGGGGCAGGGGGAGAAGGCGGGACAGGTGGCGGAGGAGGCGTTGCAGTGGATGCCCTGGTGAAAGCGGAGGTCGAGGAGCTCAAGGTTTTCGAAGATGATCTCGGGGATCCAGAGAGTGGCCTGTGCGCCGTTGGCTAGCCCGCGAATGCTGGGATGCTCGTTCTCGTTCGGGGGTAGGGTTGATGCTGCTGCCGCTGCTGCAGGGGGTGCTGGTGGTGCTGTTTCTGCTGGTTTTGCCGCTGTTGCATCTGTTGATGCTGCTGCTGCTGCTGCTGTTCCTGTACTCGTTCCGGCAGTAGCAGCTGTTGCATTTTTTCCTGGAGATGCTGCTGCTACTGCTGGCTCGGCAGCTGCTGATTTCGCTGCTGCTGCTGCTGCTGCTGCAGCATCACCTGTCTGTGCTGGGACGCTGGATGATACTGGTACAGCGTTTGAGGCTGACGTGGCAGCTGACGTGTCAGTTCCTGCTGCTGCTGTACCTGTCACTGCAGGATTCATCATCTCCATCTCCATCTGCTCCTCGAATTGTGCCACGTGTCCCAGGACATTCTCCTCCGACACGTCAGCAGTGACGTGCCACACCTGCATCCATGCATGCATCACCAGATCATGGGGAAAACAAATGTCATCACCAGTTTTACAAGGCGACGAGAAATACATACCAAGATTTCTTGGGGTTGGGAAAAAACTGCAGAGAAAATGGTAGGTTCACATAGACGAGGAGAGAAGCAGCGGCGAAGGGAGAGGTGGAAACCGAGGGAGAGACGTAAAAGAAAGAAGAGGCGGGAGAGGCATGAGCTTAGGGCGAGAAAGAAACGACAAAATGGGAGTGGAATCATGGGCCACTACAGCATTTAAAACCGCGCAGGCGGAAATCTAGCGGTACGGAAGGGGGAAAGGGAGGGGGCAGGAGGGGGAGAGAGGGGATAAGGCGGCTGGACTGGGGCTGAAGTGCAGGAGATTAATGAAGAGGGTGGGAGCAGGAGGGGGGGAGGGGGGGGGGGGTGGGGAAGGGGGGGAAGGGGGGGAGAAGAGGGGAAGCGGAGAGTTGAGCGCGGGGAGGTGGGGGGGGAGGAGGGGTTGTTGGGAGGAGACGGACGAAGATGCAGTAGCAGTAGGAAAGCAGTACGAAAGCAGTAGGAAAGCAGCAGGAAAGCAGTAGGAAAGCGGTTGCTCACATGGAGGATTAGAGTCAGCAGCAGCACGAATAGCCTAACTAGACTCCGCCGCTGTTCCATTCTTTCGAAATCCGCCGAATGTTACTGCGCGTTTCCGAGTTAATTAACACTGTTCCCGGTTAGCACGGCTTGTTCCGGCTCATTCCCGCCCGTCAAACTGGCGCCTTGTTCGGCGGCTGGAAACGTGAGACCAGAGCGTACTGAAAGAAAAGCGCCAGGTGCTGGTTAGGGTAAAAGGGGATGTTAGTCAATTAGTCAATTTCTGGAAGCATTCCTGAAGTGTCGGAGAGACATTTGCGAAGCAGTTGTTCATTGTTCTCAAGAACTGCCAGACCTTGGCAAGTACACACCCTACGCAGTGGAACTGCCAATCAAACGATGGCAGGGCTGTAATGGCTGTAGTGTGATTGTGTGGCATGCTGCCAATTGTGAAAATGTGCTTTTAAAAAATGAAAACTGTTTCTATTTAGGAAGCTCTTTGACTTGGCTTGTTGTTCTGGGAAAAATAACAAACCCGCTCTATGAGGGGATGAAATGAACCTGCTCAGAGCTTACTCTACAAGAGATTTCGATCAGATTTGCAATATCGACCAAACATGTCAGAACTCGGAACTTGGGATATAGGGTGAACGAAATCGCCACATTCAACTGTGCGAATGATCGGTAACAGACCCCTCACTTTCGCCGCAACATACTGATTGGCTACGATAATTTTCTCAAGGTTCAGTATAAGGAATTTCCATTCCTTACTGGGTCGTAAACTAGCGCGTACACCCGAACTCCTCGCCTCATCACGTTCAGCCTCATTTGTCGGCGCAACCCTTTCCCGAGTCGCGTCCGGCACTGTCGCCACATTGTCGAACCTACCCACGTTCCGAGGTTATTGCCCTAGCACGTCAACCCCTATATAACCGCATGCCTTCATTGCAATAGCGACCTTGTATTATCGTGTTATAGTTCATTGGCACTTCCTAGATCATAACAACTGGTATTAGAGCATGAGCTTTCCAGGAACCTTCCGTTTTTCCGTTTACGTACTTAAAGGTGGTCAGAGGGGATTAGCACGGCTGCACAGCAGTTGTCTTGGATCGTAAATATTTTTACGTCAACAACTATAGCGTGTGCGCTAGCTTCTGCCCCGTCCTGACCGCCATGGCCCCGCTAGACTCGACAGTTGAGGGACAGTCCACATCGACTGCTGCGAACTCTGCCCGGGAAACTGTGGATCTGCAAACATTAATGGAGCAGTTGAAGATTTTGACAAGCGTCGTCAACGACCTCCGCAACGAGAACCAGCGACTTCGCCAAGCGAAGGAGAGGCGCCCAGAGGAGCCGGGCGACGAGGCACGAAATGAGGCGGGTGAGCAGCAACCGTCGCTAGTAGAGCAGGCACGACTAGCGGCAACAGCCCCGCGCTTGACAAGTGGCGGCGTAAAATATCAGCAACCCGCTCCTTTCGACCCAGCTTATAAAGGCGTGACAGTGCGGCAGTGGATATTCGCCATGAATATCTATTTTAACGCGGCGGGCATCACAGGCGATCAGAAGCAGATCAGCCACGCGTTAACACTGTTGCAAGGGGCATCTCTATAGTGGTGGAAGGTCATCGTCGACTCAGCGGCAACTCGTACAGAAGGACAGCATGAGTGGTCCGAAGAATTCGGCGACGAAGACGAGCCAGACTTGCAATTCGGTGGGATCCACATTCGCGCGTGGGCAACGTGGTGCGCAGAGCTTCGCAAGCGGTTTGAGCATGCTCTTGACTCAGACAAGGCAAGTGAAACTCTACGCATGTGGAAGCAGCTGGGATCTGTGTCCGACTACACCGCGTCATTCTTGACGTTGGTGGACAGATGTGGCTACATGCACGAGTTGGAGAAGGTCGACAGGTACATGGGCGGCTTGAAGCCCGAACTACAGTACCAGATAAAATTGCAACGCCCTGCGAAGCGGTTACAAGACTACATCCAACTCGTTGAAGCCGCTGATTCACTCACGAAGCCGAGGACGAACTTCTACGACGGAGGTCACCCTCGAGAACAGTACCAGCGCGCCACGATAAAAGGGGTGGACGCAGTGGACATTTACGCAGTTGCTTCGCAAAATACAGGGCTATGCTACCACTGTGGCTGGCTGAGTCACATCCGACGCAACTGCCAAGAATTCATAGCCCTCCAGAATTCTATGGGGAAGAAGCCGGAGGAGCGACCGGAAAATGGGTCGCGTCAGTAAGTACCAGGCCCCTTACTGACTGGCAGGCTTCTTTGCCTAAGCCACACAGTCCCCACCGGGTCGTGATCCCGATCATTGCAATCGACCGGACCCGGACAAATAAGGGGGACAAAACTGCCGATCACCCTATGTTGGTGGAGAGTAAAGTCAACAGAGTGTACTGTACCTACTTACGAAGGGATTTACCCGGCCCAACACGTCACCATACGCCACCCCGATACTGTTCATGCCGAAGAAGGATGGAGGATTCATAATGTGTATCGACTACTGTGCGCTCAACCGGATCACCATCAAGTCGTGTTACCCGATCCCCCGAGCCGACGAACTCCTCAACCAACTTCGTGATGCCAAGTTTTTCTCGAAAATCGACTTACGAGGAGGTTACCACCAGATTCGCGTCGCAATCGAAGATTGTCACAATGGCGTTTCGCACCCGCTACGGCAGCTACGAGTACCTGGTGATGCCTTTTGGCCTCACGAAAGCGCCCTCGACCTTCCAAATGACCGTGAAAGGAATTTTCAGGGAACTCTTGGACAAATGCATTATCATCTACGTCGACAATATACTCATCTACAGCCGCAGCAGGGAGCAGCACTTATACGATCTTGATGCAGTCTTCATACTGCTGCACAAGAATCGCCTCATCACCAAAGGGTCTAAGTGCGACTTTCTTAAGCAGGAGTTGGAATTTCTGGGCCACATCGTCTCTACCGAAGGAGTGAAAATCGACCCCAAGAAAATCAAGACCATTCAAGAATGGATGCCGCCAAGCAACATCAAGGAGCTGCACAGTTTTTTTGGAATCGTCAACTACGTCGGCCGATTTTTCCCTAATATGGTTGGGTTATCTGCCCCGCTAGCTGACCGACTCAAGGATCACGATTGTTTTAGGTGGGGAGAGAAGCAGCAAGCTGCATTTGACAAACTGAAGATAGCCCTCACGTCGTCGCCCGTCCTTCGCATCTCCGATCCTGACCAGCCATACAAAGTCATCGCCGAGGCCAGCGACATCGCCATCAGTGCAGTTCTCCTATAGGATTTCGGCGACGGATTACAGCCGGTCGCCTACGAATCACGGAAGCTGCAAGGCGCCGAAAAAAGGAAATGTTGGCGATCGTCCACGCGTTCAAGACCTGGTGGGGCTACCTGACAGGTGCTGACTGTTAACGTGAGAAGGAATAATAACTAGAGGTGGAAACCTAGAACAAATACTAGTTGGTTGTACTCACTAGAAGCATACCTCGGTCTAGCCTATAACTTCTACATAGCTAATATGTATAACTCGACACACCCCCTAGGCTAGACAAGGGGTGAAACTAAACAAGAAGCAAACATCTCAGGGCGGCACTACTAGTCCAACCACTGAGGCAGGGGTCTGGAGACCAGTCAGCAAGAATACAACCAAAACTAAAGCAAACCAGGGTGGCACTACTAGTCCAGCCTCTGGAGGTAAGGCCACAAGGCCAGTCTGACAGGCATGTATAATAGAGAGTACACAATCAGGATCCTAACAGGGGAGCAGCTACAGGAACAATACCAAGCTGTACACAGTGCCACTGATGATCTTTAGGCGCAAGCGCCTTAGTGAAGATATCAGCTGTGTTGGCACCAGAGGCCAAGTGAACTACGCGGGCCTGGCAGCGCTGCTGTAGCTCGCGCAGGAGGAAGTACCGCAGCTGGATATGCTTCGCTCTGCCCTCAAGCCGAGGCTCCTGACACTCGAGTATCATGGCACTGTTGTCAGCGTACAGGACCGGGGCAGAGCTAGGCCGCTCACCTAAGTCAGTGAGCAAGAAGGTCAGCCAACGGAGCTCCTGTGCTGCCATGGCACCAGTGTAGATCTCAGCCTCACAGCTAGACTGAGCCACAGACGACGAGCGAGTGGATCTCCAAGAGATAGCACCCGAACCAAGGCTGAAACAGTAGCCCTGCGACGACCTGAGCGTCTCAGCGTCGTCTGCCCAAGAAGCGTCTGTGTGCCCAGTAAGGACCACTGGCCTGCGTCCTCCTAGCACCAACCCCATGCCCGATGTACTAGCAAGATAACGCAAAACCCTCTTAGCGGCAGACCATTGCTGAGGTCGGTGTCTGCCTGTGGCCACAAAGCAAGCCATGATGCTGAGAGGGTATGCGAGATCTGGGCGAGTGCAAGTTATCAGGTACATGAGGCAACCCACCAGCTCTGCGTAGGGGCCACTGGGCTCTACTGGCTCCTCAGGAACGGGAGCAGAGAGCCCATGGTCTATGGGTAGAGGTGTGGGCTGTGCGGAGGAGAACTGAAGACCGAACCTCTTAAGGACCTGACGCATCAAGTGTGACTGTGTCAGAGTGATGGTGCGTGCTGCTCTCTCCCTAGAGATCTGCAGGCCAAGATAGCGACGCAGCTCTCCAAGGTCAGTGCAGGTGTTTCTCTTCAGCAGCTCGGCCTTCACAGAGGCCAGTGCATCCCTGTCAGTAGTTGCACAGACCAGGTCGTCTACGTAGACAAGGATGTAGAACGGAGTCTGGCTGGAACGCACAAACAGCGAGGGGTCATTAGAGGAGGGAAAGAACTGCAGGTCTGCTAACGTGGCCCGCAGCATGTCGTGCCACTCGCGAGGAGCCTGACGCAGGCCGTAGACCAGGTGCCTGAGAAGCCACTGGGTCCCAGGGGGGAAGGTACCAGCAAAGCCCTATGGTCAACGCAGGTAGACCTGCTCGTGTAGGCTGCCCTGAAGAAAGGCAGTAGAGAAGTCGAGGGAGTGAAGCTCGTAGTCGTGATGTGCTGCTACGTGTAGCAGCGCCCGAAGAGTGGTCATCTTCGGGGTCGGGGCGAAGGTCTGGAAGAAGTCAACCCCCTCGCGCTGACTGAAGCCTCTGGCCACGTAGCGCGCCTTGAACACAGGCGGCTCTCCAGAGGGGCGCTTCACCTTGAAGAGCCACCGACCATCGACTACGTTCACCCCAGGCGGGGGAACTGCGTCGACGTAAGTGCCGGTGGACCTCCAAGATGCCATCTCCTGCTCCATGGCAGCTATCCACTGAGAGGCCCAAGGTCCCGAGGTGGCCTCAGCGTAGGTGCGAGGGGTCGGGATGTCGAAGGC